ATGTGTTGATTCCATTAAAAAAAATATTTGCCCTGTGACTGAGCTCACTAATATTCATAATTGTAAATAAGTTCTGTTAATCAATGAAGGAAAGATATGTAAATGATATGCAAATTATTATGCAAATTAGCCCCGGCGCTATGCATTTTTTCTGGGGAGAACCCTGGATTGCAGTCCTCTCTGCCGGCAAATGTTCATTTGTCTGTTTATTTACAACACTGCTTTGTTGCCTGTCGCAACTTCCTTCCTACTCAAATTAGTAAATAATAATAACTTTATTGTTATCGAATCTCTGTTGTGATGTACTGTAAAATACTTTTTATAGTATGGAATTTATTTTTATTGATTTTTGACAAGTTGAATGCAAAATATAGGAAAAAAGGTAAATTTGCTGAATCATTCCTTCAGGGAAAATTAATTCCAAGCGAAATTAAAGTATTTTACAGTAGATAAAATTACAATAAAGAGTAAAATTATAACAATAAAAATGTAAAATAAGTACATTGCATCAGGGAGCTGTAATGAGAGCTCCCTGATTGCATAGATGGTGTTAGTAAAAAAAAAATGATAGTAAGAAAACGAAGGTATCAGAATAAACTGTCCCATGAGGGCACCTTTCTTATTGCAACTTATCCACAGCGTATATCCTAGGAATGCGGTGTCGCACCAGTACAAATAAAAACCATATCTCATCAAATCATTGCCCAATTCAAGATTTAGCGTATGGACGATAATTTATAAATGTACTTCACTTGCAGTTGGAACGACCACGGCTAAACGTGTCAAGGGCGCAGCCATATTCTTTCGCAAGTCTTTATGGGTAAAGGATGTGGACGGAGCGATAAAATAGCCAGGGGTGTGAATATTTACAACGTTGGGGTATCTTATTGCACCAAGTCCATCGCAAATCTTAAGTATTGAATTCCTATTGTCAATTACATCAAATAGCAAAATGGTTAAAAAAAAACGTTCTTGTCATGGGAAATTAATGTAATATTAATTGCAGTGTGTGTTAACCACCCCTCCAAAAAATATTGGTGTACGTCCATTGATTGCGAAATCGTGAGAAAGACTAGATCCGGTCTATGTTCCTGCTGTAATTCTCACCCGTATTTATAATATACTTTTACCATATTGTGTGTTTTACAGTTCTCTTTAATTAGAAGAAAATGCCTAAAAAGAGAGGACAGAAGGGTAAAAAGGGGAAACAAGACGATGGTTTCAAAGACAAAGACGATAAGGTTAAGGATATGATGTCAACACTTGCTCTCGAGGACTCGGGAGATGAGATCGACGATGACTTGGCTCCGTCAAGGGGCAGGGGAAAGAGTTCCAAACCTAAAGGTTAGTCGTGTTTGTCTCGGTGCCTTCGATGGTGAAGGCGTGTTTGTCTCGGTGCCTTCGATGGTGAAGGCGTGTTTGTCTCGGTGCCTTCGATGGTGAAGGCGTGTTTGTCTCGGTGCCTTCGATGGTGAAGGCGTGTTTGTCTCGGTGCCTTCGATGGTGAAGGCGTGTTCCGCTTTATATAGTAGTGCAATGTTGTTTAGTATAATGGCAGCTGGAACAAGATGGATTATCATTTGAAAAAGTCGCTAAAATAATCAGCGAACCGCTCACCATTGTAATAGTATACAAGTAGAAATTGCATTGTGAAGCTCATTATATTATAAATTTAACAGTTAACAAAAACAAAGAATTTTATAGAGACGTTCTTGAAGGCAATACATTTCTCATAGTTTGAAAAATTGAATAATAAATAGAATTTATTAATTTGCTTGATGTTTCTGATGAAATTCTGTTTTTTAAAAATGTGCAACGTGACTTTATTTTGAAATGAGTAGATCTTTTTTTGTACTATTTCTAATCATTGTTATGTCGTTGGACAAACTATGTATATGTATTGAGTCGAAATTAAATCATGTTTAGTTGGAAATGTTGTAATAAAAGTTGTAATTTCAAAGTAAGATTTCTTTTTGTGTTTACCTTATTTTGGCTGATTCATGTAGCTGAATGTGTTAAAATACACATGTACAACCTTGTGACAGGGCTTGAGAAGGCACCTATTTTTTAGAGTAAAATTACCTCGACATAAAAGAATAACATTGGGAATATTGGAGGCAAACTCAATGGACATCGAGGTAGTCATACATTGTGTACATGCTTACATGAAGCTCAACCCATGGTTTGGGTATACAAAATTTATTATTTCCTTCACAAATGAGTGAATTTAATGCCAACCACATCAAATCTACTAAAATTAAAACCAATCAATATTTGTCCTACTGCATCATTCATTTGTCTGTATTTAAATTTTTCTTGACAGGTGGTTTTGCACTGCTTGATGATTTAGACGATGAAAATGAAATGAACAACGAGAATGATATTGATGGAGGTGAAGATGAAGCGCCTAAAAAGGATCAAATTCAGAGTGAAAAGAGGAGAGATTTACCAGATATTGATCCGACTAAGACAGGTATGTAGCACCGTAAGTTGGTGATGC